GTTTCTATATCCTTAGAGCAATGGTTCTCAACCTGTGGCCCGCGGCCCAATCAGAGCCCATGTGACATCCTCAGAGCCATACAGGTAGTATTGGATGCGCCCCAAATATACCACTCCATGCTCCCCCAAAAGCCTGATCCTGCAGACAGGCAACAGAGTGCTCCTCTATTGTGAGAAAGTAGGATCACCACCTACGGCTTTCTATCAGGGTGGTTCAGGTTTAGTTAAACATTGCTACCCTTGCCAAGCCTGCTACATCTCCAGGATTCCATGTTATTTTGGGTCAACTGGGTTACCATGCAGACCCAGCCCAAGTGTGCAAGAAAACAATCCTAGGGAGTGGAAGCGTACCTTCATGAACACACACAAAAACATAAAAAGCGACAGAGTCCTGTGGCACCTTTAAGACTAACAGATGTATTGGCGCATAGGTTATCAGGGGTGAAGGCCCACTTCTCTGTTGCTTTTTACAGCTCGAAACTAACATGGCTACCCCTCTGATACAAAAATAAGTAACAGAGGGTCCTGTGGCACCTTGAAGACTAAGTCTTTAAGGTACCACAGGACCCTCTGTTGCTTTTTACAGATTCAGACTAACAGGGCTCCCCCTCTGATACAAAATCGTAAGTGACACAAGTCCTCACCTCGTGGGCCAGGAGCGCTGCCTGCGAAGCCGCTGGAAGAGAACAAGGACAGAGATGTTAGCAGGGAGCCAAGGCAGTTTGACGGGGCGGCGGAACGTGGCGCCCCCCGAGCAGACGCCCCTGGTCCTGCAGTGTCTCCCGCGCGGTTTCTCTCCTGGCCCCAGCCCGGGGACTCCGAGACGCAGCGGGACTCTGCAGGCTGCAGACCAGAGGCCCGGCTCGTTCTCCAACGCGGTGGCAGGGGGCCGCGCGTCACGGAGCCCGGAGCCCTGCGCCCCCGTGCGCCACGCGGGCAGAGCCAGGAGAGAGCAACTTCCCCAGGTGCCCACGTCGGAAGCTGAACCGACCCGCCCGGCCCGCGGCCTCCCCCCGCGAGAGGCCCCAGGGCCGGGCCCAGCTTGAGCCCCAGGCTCCAGTCAGGGGGCGGGCCCGGGCTGCGGCCTTGCCGCGCCTGCTCTGCATGCGGGGGTGTCCCGAGGCCCCA